GTCAATTGCTCCCTCTGTTGAACGTCGTATGTACGGTCGATATCTGGCTGTAATAAAATTACTCTTTTCAATGCTGAAAATATACCCAAAGCCGATGTCCACTCTTTACGAGAAATACAACGCATGATACGATTAGTAATAGCTTCGGCATCTTTGACAACCATATCGATTGACTTATAGGCAAGCTTGGCGAAGACGTCAGCATGCTTCGAATTGGGTATAATCTCTTGCATAAGGGCTCTTTCCCAATTCAAAAGCCGCTGCAAGCCCAATAGCATGACCAGATATTTATCCAGTTCTTGGTCGCCATCAGCAAACTCTTCAGAAGACAAATGATCCGAATGCGACGTTGCTTTTTTAATAGATATACCGGTAGATTGCTCCAAGGTCTGGGTTGCTTTCAAATATAATTTATTTGCTTTGCGTTCAAAACTAAAATAAAGTAATTCCAGTAGATTTAAATTACGAGTTCATTTTCACTAAAAATGCTTACATATGTTGCAAGCGTGCTGATGTATTCTTTTTAACTTCAGGTCGACCCGTATGGCGTGATTTCTAAAATTTTAAAATGTACAACACAACATTATTTACATGCAGAATTAACTAAACACATAACCTAAGAATGAAAAAAAACCATAATTTTCGTAAACCGCAATTCTGACGGAAAATTTATTTAAAAACTTTTTCTCATACGAAAGCCTAAATTTCCTCCTTTTCACTAAAATTCAAATCTTCAAGAAACTTTTCAATTCGATCGCAATCAACTTCTGGCATGATACCAAATTTCTGTAAATCATGGCGCTTTAATTTCATGAAATCATTGATATCGATACCGCATTCTTCAAAATAATCAGCATAAGCTTCTAAGCCCACATATTTAAGCAGCAAGTGAACCGTTATATTACTGTTCAGAATACTTTTAATCAAAGTGTGATGACTGGCGTATTCTGGACTCAAGTTATTGCTGGTGGATGCAACCGGCGAAAAATTTGGGCTGAAAGAAGCACAGATGAAAACGTTAATTTGTTTAATGGTGTCTTGGTAAAGACGTCTGAGGAAATAACCTGAGTGAAAATGTTGATTTATTAAGCCCTTCCAACGGGCTAATCATAGATGTCTGAAGTTCAAAAGTGCTCATGTCCATATGCTTAGGAGTGGAACAGCACATTTGATTAAAAATGTGTGCTTCCTGGAGGCATGAATTGAAAGGACTACTATTAAACTTAAATTCGTGACAGCACCGCATGGTAGGCGTACGACATTCCTCCATTTTTTTCTTGTTCTTATTATTATTTATCTATAATTTTTAACACAGTTTTCTTCTCAACAACGTATTTTCCGCAGATTAGGTGACTATCCCAACTAGGCAATACAACATTAACTGCAGTTGAATAATAAGAATGATTAGCTTCTGATCGGTTAATTATCAACTAAGAGCAACTGTAATTTTATTGCCGTCATAAGAAAGCAGAATGAAACGTGAAAGAATAAACGTTAAATTATCGATCGCAATATGCTATCGAATAATTAGCTAATTAAATCCGACGACCTACTACAATTCTCTTCTATTATTACATAAATAAGTTTTAGTACTAA